TCTTGAGAAAAGAATAATTTGTTAACATAAACAACTATCGCCGATAGAAAAGAACTGATTCAGAGATGAAAGATTTTGAAGCTTTCAGAAAACTAAAAGACAATTAAACGAAGGTCTTCCATAAGTGCATTACCAGTAGACATATGGTCCAAGTGATAGTCACCTTCGCTGCATCAGTTTTTTGTCACCCACATTAACGGTTTTAACGAGTGATTGATTTGTTATAAATCGATGTTAGTGATTAATTTGTTAGTGCTTAAATTTTAGTAGGGAAAATGAAAATTTATTCAAAGATTAGTGATTATTTTTGTTGTTTACCCTTTAATTGATTTAACATCAAAAGGTGAGAATTTAAGAGGAAGCAATGACCTCCATTATCAACCAAAGAATAAAATTCTTTCATTCAATTAAATAAATCAAATAGACAAATACAATATACCTGGTTATATTATAATTATACCATTATTAGAAGTAATCTTTCATGAATTAAACTATGAATTAAACACCTGATTAATAATTTACAGTTCTTCAATATATAAGCCATTTTTTTCAATTCATTGTCAAAGTCCTGTCATTGATTTGTTCTTGTCTGATTAAAGAATGAAGAAATCAGTTACTATATAATCGACACTAACACTTCCTCTGTATGATAACGTTGATAATACCATCTTGTTAAATTGAGAAAGCGTTATAAACCAAAACAAAAAAAGCAAAATAATAATAATAATAATAATAATTTCCCCTATAGCGTTTTCTCATTGACAGACAAAATACAATAAAAGGTAATGATCAATTTTATAAAATTAAAGACATAATAAAGGTAAAAAATAATTTATCTCAATATAGATTTTATTTTATTTATAACACTTGATATATGTTTTTATTCTCTTCAAACGGATTCGCTGAGCCTACTAAGAAATTGCTAACGCTAAAGCTTCAAGTTTAGACAATTTCAAATCATTCGATTTTGAAGAACTAGGCTTTTACATTCAATAACTTGCTAAGAATATTTTCATCTACCTTCTTCCAGAGTCAAGGTGACTGCATGTTCAGTTGAAGGTTCCATATGGAAACCTACAGCATTTGTATCAGCAGAACTTCTTTCTGCGTAGAACCCAGGCTCCTTTGGTGGAGGCAGAACTAAGGTGCTGCCATTCCTGATGGATTGAGTTGGAGCTAAGGTATCAGCAGCAGAAGCATAGTATGAGCCTGAAAACAGGAAATACTGAAAGAAGATCAAAGCAAGAGTCCACATTAAGAAATAAAAAAATGGGAAATATTTCATGCATATGTTTCAACTCATGGAACTTTATTTATAATCTGAAAATAAATGAAGATATACATAAGTGAAACGATAATCTAGGCTCGAAGAAAGAAGAATATATATTATTAATTTCCCCACCCAAAACCAGGAAAAAAATTACATACATTTGCTTAAGCCTATGGCAATAGTCAAGAGGTTTGTGTAGCGGTCGTGATCTTCAACTAGTGCGGGCGACCTCGGAACAAAAGTATTCATTTTAAGTCCAGAAGCAACACGTTTTTCTCCTTTCACTGTAATAGTATAGAGTAAGAATATTTGGTCTTAATCGAAAAGAAAAGTAATAAGAATCTGAAATTTTGATAGATTGATTGAATAGAAAAGTATTAGGAATCATGAAATTTGATTGTTTGAGAGAATAAAAAAAATTAACCCTTTTTTATTCTCTCAAACAAAGCTCTCGTTTCTTGCCTTGGCCTGTAGCCTCTGCCACCGCCGCGCCTGCGGTGTTTTCCGCTGCCGTTCTTCGAACCCCGCGCGTGGCCTTTTTGTTCGGTCATTTCTGTTTCTTTCTCCACTGTCGTCGGTTTTGTTTCTTCGCTTGTGCGTTTGCGGGAAATTAGATATTTCAAGGGTAAAATACATTTTTGACAACTGTACTTTTAAGACTCTTTTATTTATGTTACCAAAATAAAATTATTTTCATAAGAGTCACTATGAAGATTCAAACTTAGGACCATTAAAGGGAGATCCAAGGCTTAATCACTTCCTCAAGTTAATTACGTGATATATCTTCAAAAAATGATATTTTATAGTATACTATAATAGTTAAAAGTTAATTACATTTTTATAAAAATATATTAATTAAATATAAGTTATAAACTATTGTAAAATATATTTATATTATACCAAAAAAATTAAGAATATATTTATAACATTAATTAAATATATTACTTTTATAAAAAAAAATCTAATCTATTTTATAAAATTTTAAAAAATAAAAGAGAAAAAGACTAAAACTTTCAAGCATAAACAATTTCAACTTATCGACTTCGAAGCAGTAGGCTTTACATTCAATAATTTGCAAGCTTAAACAATTTCAAATCATTCGACTTTGAAGCAGTAGGCTTCTCATTCCATAATTTGCTTTGAATCTTTTTTATCTACCTTCTTCCTGAGTCAAGGTGATTGCATTTTCAGTTGAAGGTTGTGTATACAAACCTACAGCATTTGTATCACCGGAACTTCTTTCTACGTAGAACCCAGGCTCCTTCGGTTGAGGCAGTGTCATCGGGATCTCTTCGTTATCCAACATCCGAACCACGTATGACATCGTTGGTCTGTCTTCTCTGTGTTTCTGAACACACAGCAGGCCTACTTGAATGCACCTCACCACTTGTGCTTCAACACATGAATCTTCCAAACAACGATCCATTAGCTCCAAGGCCTTCCCATCGTTCCACAGCAGCCATGCCTGCAACGAATCAATTTCTTAATCTGATATTGAAGGCTAATGACATGACAAAACCATATGACAATGCAAGAAAGATGACTACATGTCCCAAGAGATTGTGGTAATGATCCGGATGGTTGAAGCCCCTGTTCCTTTTCCCACTCACAATCTCTAGCAGAAGGACCCCCCAAGCTAAACACATCTGATTTAACTGAAAATTTCCCATCAATCGCATACTCCGGAGACATATAACCACTGAAACAAACGATCCAGCAAAGTAAAAGCTTTTAAAACAAGTGATTAAAACAAGCAATCTTTTAATTTCATGTAATAAAATTAAACTTACTATGTCCCAATTACTCTCTTAGTTCTGGCTTCAACTTGATCACCTCCAAACATTTTAGCTATCCCAAAGTCTGAAATTTTGGGGTTCAACTCATTGTCCAGCAACACATTACTGGCTTTCAAATCCCTGTGAACTATTCTCAATCTTGAATCCTGTTGGAGGTAAAGAAGCCCCCTTGAAATTCCCATAATGATTTCGAAACGCTTGGCCATGTCAACAGCTTTCTTCTAGTGTCATCTGCAAAAATATTTTTCTTACCATATAGTGTCATATCAATTGAGTAAAGATTTCGAAATCTGAGTGAAAAAGATAAAAGATTAGAGAAAAACAAACCAAAAATAAAGTAATTCAAGCTTCCGTTAGGCATAAACTCATAGATAAGCATCCTTTCATCTCTTTTAATGCAACAGCCCAAAAGCCTAACAAGATTCCTGTGTTGAAGCTTAGATATCATTGCAACTTCATTCTTGAACTGTTCAACACCTTGCTGGGAGTTTCTAGAAAGCCTCTTACAGCTATTTCTTGTCCCTTAAATAGCTCACCCTGCATGTTATTTTGTATAAGACCTATGATACAAGTCCCCATTCAATGAAAAATATGCAATCACTGAAGCAGATATTATCTCTAGCTATTACCTTGTACACAAGTCCAAAACGGCCTGTTCCTATTTTATTCGAGTCGCAAAAGTTATTGGTGGCGGATGCAATCGTAGCAAAATCGAATAATGGCAACTCCATATCTTCTTTGTTTGCTTGCGATTCTGAATGTGAAATAGATTCTATAGATCTAAGAGAAGATGCTAGGCACGAGATGCAATACTAACAACTGGAATAGTATCCATTACATCCAGAACCACAATGGCATCCCATTTTGTCCACAACAGAAATAATTTAATACTAGAAAGTGTTGATGAGTTCATTTACCTTTTCTCTTTCTCCTATACTTCCAAATCATATACCAGCACGCCAAAGCTAAAGCAATCAGCCCGAAAAGCATTGATGAGGCCACTATAATGATTATTCTTCTACTTTTCCAAATCGAATCACCTGTCCCTTCATTACCAACAAATCAATTTAGTCATTATTTTCCTCAAAATGCAGCAGAAAACACAATGGAACGATAAACACAAAGGAACGATAAACACAAAATCCACTTACTTATTTCTGAAGCTGTTACCCGAATATAAATATCTTGCTCCCTTTGTTCTTCAATGAATTCCCGGATATCTATCAGATTTCCAAACCACATTAAACATCCGCTTCCATTGTAATTCGAATTAGCATATGCTGTGCATGAACAATTCTTTAGGCACTCGATCCTGCAGTCCTTGAGGTTCATCCTTTCATCCAACTTAAATTCCAATAGGTCAGGCAATTTCACATTCTTAATTTTCAAGAATCCCCCTCTCTCCTGGCAATCTAATGGAGTCCTTCTTACACATCCACCAGTCCAATTGAGTACTTGCCACTCACGCTCCAATCTCGGAACAAACCCTTCCAAGCATTCACAGATTGGCCTTTGATTGATTTTACAAATTCCATTAGGGCCACAGCGCGCATAATCGTTACACAAGTCATTCTGCAATGTATACATGACAGTCCATTCACTGGTGTTCTCATACAACACAAGGCGTTGAACTAAACCGGATTCATTCACAGTAATTCTTGAGATAACAGATTTGGCTGTCACTTCATACATATCGTAAGCCCCCTCTGTGTTAAAAACAGTAACATGATTAATGATATGGCTTTTCTGTGATGGATGACCACCAAATTTTATTCCATTCCATGGACCCATTCGAAACCTCTTCTTCGTTCCTTCACGAACAACAAGCTTAGGTGCGTCGTTATCAAGTCCATAAGTAAACTCTCCAGGAGATGGATCATTAACACCCTTCCATGCTGTCAAATATCGATTTATGCCAGTTTTAAAGTTCCTTTCTATCTTAATCCCTTCCAATTGAGTGTCAGATGGACAATCAAAACTTTCCCACAAGTAGCTTTCCGTATCTTCACCAGTATCCTCATCTTTAACAACTAAATTTCCAGAATCCAACAGTTGTGCAATTGGATTTTTGGCTGATCTAGATGAATTAGTCGACCAGATAGTAGTGTTTTGTCCGTCAAAGATAAAAAGATTACCAGTGCTGGAAATACAAAGGAAGGCACGTGAATCGATGGGTTTTCTCTGTTACCAACCCATACAACAGTGACAGGAAGCCTTTTATACCATATTCCCAAGTAATATTTGTTGGAGTTAACAGGTGAAAAGAAGCCAAGCTCGAATATTTGACCAGGAGAAACTAAGGTGCTGCCATTTCTGAGTGATTGAGCTGGAGCTAAGGTATTAACAGCAGAAGCATAGTATGAGCCTGAAAACAGGCAATACTGAAAGAAGATCAAAGCAAGAGTCATGATCTTTATTTATAATCTGAAAATAAATGAAGACATACATAAGTGAAACGATAATCTAGGAACAAAGAAAGAAGAATATTTGGTCTTAATCGAAAAGAAAAGTAATAGGAAATATAAAATTTGATCGATTGAATAGAACAAATAATAGTATTAGGGTAGACAAAAAATTAACCCGTTTTTTATTCTCTCAAATGAAGCTCTCGTTTCTTTCCTTGGACTGTAGCCTCCGCCATCGCCACTCGTCCGGCGTTTTCCGCTGCCGTTCTTTAAACCCCGCGGGTGGTCGTTTTGTTCTCTGTCATTTTTGTTTCTTTTTCCCACTGTCGTCATTTTTTTTCTTCGCTTGTGCTTTTGCGGGATATTAGATTTTTCAAGGGTAAAATACATTTTTGACCACTGTACTTTTAAGATTATTTTATTTATGTTAGCAAAATAAAAATATTTTCATTAGAGTCAGTATGAAGATTCAAACTTAGGACCATTAAAGGGAGATCCAAGGCTAACATTAATTATATTTTATAGTATACTATAGTTAAAAGTTAATTACATTTTTTAGAATATTATATATTAATTACAATATAAGTTGTAAACTATTATAAGAATATATTTATATTATACCAAAAAATTAAGAATATATTTCTAACATTAATTAAATATATTAATTTTATAAAAAAACATTTCTAATTATTTTATAAAATTAAAAAAAATAATAATAAAGAGAAAAAGACAAACTTTTAAGGATAAACAATTTCAAATTATTGGCTTCGAAGCAGTAGGCTTTACGTTCAATAATTTGCAAGCTTAAACAATTTCAAATCATTTGACACTGAAGCAGTAGGCTTCTCATTCAATAATTTGCTTTCAATCTTTTTTATCTACCTTCTTCCTGAATTAAGGTGAGTGCATTTTCAGTTGAAGGTTGTGTATTCAAACCTACAGGATTTGTATCACCGGAGCTTCTTTCTACATAGAAGCCAGGCTCCTTCGGTCGAGGCAGTGACGTCACGATTTCTTCGTTATCCAACATCCGAACCACGCACGACATCGTTGGTCTGTCCTCTACGTGTTTCTGAACACATAACAGGCCTACCTGAATGCACCTAACCACTTGTTCTTCAACACATGAATCTTCTGAACAACGATCCATTAGTTCCATGGTCTTCTTATCGTTCCACAGCAGCCATGCCTGCAATGAATCGAGTTCTTAATCCGATATCGTAAGGCTAATGACATGACGAAATCATATGACAATGCAAGAAAGAAGACCTACATGTCCCAAGAGATTGTGGTAATGATCCGGATGGTTAAAGCCCCTGTTCCTTTTCCCACTCACAATCTCTAGCAGAAGCACCCCCAAGCTAAACACATCTGATTTAACCGAAAATTTCCCATCGATCGTGTACTCCGACGACATATAACCACTGAAACAAATGATCAAGCAAAGTGTAAGCTTTTGAACAAAGTGATGAAAACAAACAATCTATTAATTTCATGCAACGACATTAGACTTACTATGTCCCAACTACTCTCTTAGTTTTGGCTATCCCAAAGTCTGAAATTTTGGGGTTCAACTCATTGTCCAGCAACACATTACTGGCTTTCAAATCCCTGTGAATGATTCTCAATCTCGAATCTTGGTGGAGGTAAAGAAGCCCTCTTGAAATTCCCATTATGATTTTGAAAAGCTTCGGCCATTTCAACACCTTTCTTCTGGTTTCATCTGCAGAAGTTTTATTTTTCTTTACCATGTACTGACATATCAATTGAGTAAAGATTAGAAGAAAACGAACCGAAAATGAAGTAATTCAAGCTTCTGTTAGGCATAAACTCGTAGATAAATATCCTTTCATCTCTCTTAATGCAACAGCCCAAAAGCCTAACAAGATTTCTGTGTTGAAGCTTAGATATCCTTGCAATTTCGTTCTTGAACTGTTCAACACCTTGCCGGGAATTGCTAGATGTTAGGAAATAAACGAGTAACAAGTAATTTCCCTATAGTCAGATTAGTGAGAATACGAAATAAAAGCGGAAAAATAATACCCGAAATTGATAACGGAGTTCAGCAAATTGTGCTTACGTCTCCGGACTGCTACAAATCTTTTACTAAGAGAGAAAATTTACAGGTGTTTTACAAAACACTCACTACTCACAAGAAAGCTCTTTAGTATTGGGAGAAAGAAATGATTTTTGGGATCGTTTTGAAGCTAAATGAAATAAGGTATTTATAGTTGAAACTTAAGGACTTAATCTTGTAAATATCCTAAAACCTAGGGATTAATTATGATTATCCCATTATCATTTTTCAACAAACATCTACCAAACTTTGAAAAACTATTTTTCAAAGAAACATTTACCAAACTTTGAAAACCATTTTTTCAAAGTTGGTTACCAAACTTGAAAACCTTTTAATACTTTCAACAATCTCCCGCTTGAAGACTGATTTTAATCTGTCTTCACACCTCGATCAATGCAACAGCTTTTCTAGTCTTGTTACTCTAGCATGCCAACTGAAGTTGAACACAACTTCAGTTTGTCTGTAGTCACCGTCTTTGTCAACATATCTGCCGGATTTTGAGCTCCACTGATCTTTTCAAGTTTCAAAATCTCATCTTCCAGAAGAGACCGGATAAAATGATATCGCAATTGTATGTGCTTTGTCCTGGAATGAAAAGACGGATTCTTTGCTAGATGTATAACACTTTGACTGTCGCAATACAAGACATTGTTTTCTTGTTTTTTGCCTAAACTCTTCCAAGAAACTTTGGAGCCAAACCATCTCCTTGCTAGCTTCCGTAACAGCGACATATTCTGCTTCAGTTGTAGAGAGAGCAACTATCTTCTGTAGTTGAGAAACCCAACTCACTGCGGTTCCTCCTAGAGTATAGACATACCCTGTAGTGCTCCTTCTGATGTCAACATTTCCGGCTAAGTCAACATCTACATAGCCTGTCAGTATCGTATCTCCACCTTTGAAACAAAGTGCTTTGTTTGTGGTACCCCGCAGATATCTGAGGATCCATTTGACTGCTTCCTAGTATACCTTGCCCGGATTATTCATGTACCTGCTAACAGCTCCCACTGCTTGAGCAATATCTGGTCTGGTACAAACCATGGCATACATCAGACTTCCAATTGCTGAGGCATACGGCACCTTCACCATGTGTGCACGTTCTTCCTCCGTCTTTGGTGACTGTTTTTTGGAGAGTCTGAAATTAACACCTAAAGGTGTACTTACTGGTTTAGCATCTTGCATGTTGAACCTGGAGAGTACTTTGTTGATGTACTCAGCCTGTTATAATATCAAAGTCCCCGACTTTGTGTCTCTCTTGATCCTCATCCCAAGAATCTGCTTTGCAGCGCCCAGATCCTTCATAGCAAACTGCTTTGACAATTTTTGCTTCAAGTTTATAATCTCTTGCATGTCTGAGCCTGCAACGAGCATGCCATCAACGTACAACAATAAAATAATGAAGTTATTGTCGAACCTCTTGATGTAGCAACAATGATCTGCTTGGCATCTGGTAAAACCACTACTACTCATGAAACTATCAAACTTCTTGTACCACTGTCTAAGAGCTTGTTTTAAACCATACAAGCTCTTCTTCAACCTGCATACCAGGTTTTTCTTGTCTGCATCTATGAAGCCTTCTGGCTGCCTCATATAGATTTCTTCCTCCAAATCACCATGAAGGAAAGCTGTCTTTACATCTAACTGCTCAAGATGTAAATTCTCCGCAGCTACAATTTTCAACACCAGTCTGATTGTAGACAGTTTCACGACTGGAGAGAAAATTTCATTGTAGTCAATACCTTCTTTTTGCTGAAAACCTTTGACAACCAATCTCACTTTGTAGCGTTTGCTCCCATCGTGCTCTTATTTGATCCTGTAAATCCACTTGTTGTGAAGCGCTTTCTTGCCTAGTGGTAATTCAGCTAATTCCCACGTCTGATTTGACATAAGTGAGTCCATCTCATCTTTCATGGAAGACTCCCACTTGACTGAATCCTCCACTTGCATTGCTTCATCATAGCACTCTGGTTCACCATTATCAGTCAGCAACAAGTAGTGCAAAGAAGGAGAATACCGTTGGGTTGGTTTAGGAATTCTGGAGGAGCGTCTTAGTTCCGGTGTGCCTGGTTCTTCTTGAACTACTTCAGGACTGATCTAAACATCATTTCCAGAAATCTCCTCGAACTTAACAAATTCCTTTGTTTCAGCTTTGGTATTGGAGCCGTTTGATTCTACAATTGACCTGTCTTTGTACATCACATTCTCATTGAAAATGACATCTTTGCTTCTGATGATCTTCCGATTTTCATAGTCCCAAAACCGGTAACCGAACTCATCACCGCCGTAACCAACAAAGGCACATTTGTTGGACTTAGCATCAAGTTTACTTCTTTCAGCAGAGTCTATGTGTATATAAGAAATACAACCAAACACTCTTAAGTGTGAAAGGTTTATTTCTTTCTTGCTCCAAACTTCCTCTGGTATTCAGCCATCCAAAGGAACTGAGGGCCCACGGTTGATCAGGTAAGCTGCAGTGTTGATAGCTTCAACCCATAGAAATTTGGGCAATCCGGCATGTATTCTCATGCTTATGGCACGTTCATTCAGAGTTCTGTTCATGCGCTCTGCTACGCCATTCTGCTGCGGTGTCATGGGAACTGTTGTCTCCATCTTGATCCCATTATTTGCGCAGAAATCTCTGATCTCCTATTTCTGTACTCTCCTCCATTGTCAGACCTCAACCGCTTGACTTTCAGACCAGTCTCATTTTCCACCATGGCCTTCCCATTTTCTGAAGGTATCAAAGACTTCTGATTTCTTCTTCAGAAAATAAATCCACACCTTCCTTGTAGAATCATCGATGAAAGTGACATAATATAATGAGCCTGCAAGAGATGAAACTGGAGATGGTCCCCATACATCAGTATGAACCAACTCTAACTTTTCAGCCTTGGGTGTCTTACCAATCTTTGCAAAGCTGACTTTCTTTTGTTTGCCAAAGATGCAATCCTCGCATAGTCCGACGTCTACATTCTTTAGATCCGACAGCTTCCCCTTTGACAAAAGTTTCTTCATCCCTTTCTCGCTCATATGGCCAAGCCTTTGGTGTCATAGGTTTGATTTTCCATCAGCATCTGCTACTGCAATGATATTCTCTAAATTTGAGGTTATATAGAGAGTACCAGTTTTCTTACCACGAGCAATGACGAGTGCTCCTTTGGTAATCTTCCATTCACAGCCTGAAAAGGTTGTGCTAAATCCTTCACCATCAAGCTGTCCTACAGAAATCAAATTTCTTTTGAGGCCAGGAATATGTCTCACTCCTTTCAGCGTCCAGGTGGTCTGGTTTGACAACTTTAGTCGGATGTCTCCTTTTCCGACGATCTTCAAGGTTTCATCATCAGCTAGATGAACCTTCCCAAAATTACCACTGACATAATTTTCCATGATTTCTCGACATGGGGTGGAGTGGAAAGATGCCACTGAATCCAAGATCCATGATTCAATCGGATTGTTGACGCTTAGAATCATGGCATCACCTGTCTCCTCTGTCACGTTGGTAGATTCCTGTGCGCTGGTATTTTTTTCGGTGCTCGGTAATCTCTTTTAAAGTGACCCTTCTTGCCCCAGTTATAACAGGTAAAATCTTTCTTCCACATTCTTGATTTTTCTCCCTTTTGGATTTGGATCTGCCACGATTTGAATTTCTTTCTGAAGTTCTCCCTCTGGACTCCGTGTGCAAGGCTGAGGAGGTTGATGCTTCACCCGATTCTCTCCGTCGAATTTCTTCACTCAGTACCAGATCCCGAACATCGTCGAATTTTAATTTGTTGTTTCCCGACGAACTGTTGACTGTTGTAACAGTAGTATTCCAACTGTCTGGTAAAGATGATAAGAGAATTAAAGCTCGAACTTCATCATCAAATTCAATTTCTACTGAACTCAACTGGGTTGTGATTGTGTTGAGTTCATTTAGGTGTTGTGCCACCGAAGCCCCTTCCGTCATCCGCAAATTAAATAATCGCCTCATCAAATGAACTTTGTTTGAGGCCGATGGCTTCTCATACATACTGGAGAGAGCCGTCATAAGACCCGCCGTGATCTTTTCCTTTGCTATGTTGAAAGCAACATTGCGGGATAACGTCAGTCGAATAACTCCGAGGGCTTGTCTATCGAGAAGAGCTCAGTCTTCATTCTTCATGCCCTCTGGTTGTTTTCCTAAGAGGGGTTGATATAGATTTTTCTGGTATAGAAAATCTTCAATTTGCATCTTCCAAAATCCAAAGTCCGCACCATCGAACTTTTCAATTTTCACCTTCCCTTCGTCTGCAGCCATCGCTCCCACTCGAATCTGGCTTCGTTTGGATCGTTTTCTGACAATTTTTGCGAACCGCCGTGTATTAGAATACCTCCGTCGACAAACTCGTATCGCCAATCAAATTTCACTATTCACAAAATTCACTATTCACGTGAATAGTAACCCAAATAGTAACCTCCCAAAAAATTGACAAAATTCACAACCCAAAAGCTCTGATACTAGTTGTTGGGAAATAAACCAAGTTGCCGGGAATTGCTAGAGAGCCTCTTTACTGTTATTTCTTGTCCCTCAAATAGTTCACCCTGCATGTTATTTTGCATAGTAATTATGATACAAGTCCCCTTTCAATGAATCATATATATAATCATTGAAGCAGATATTAGCTCTGGCAATTACCTTGTAAACAAGTCCGAAACCGCCTGTTCCTATTTTATTCGAGTCGGAAAAGTTATTGGTTACGGATGCAATCGTAACAAAATCGAATAACGGCAACTCCGGATCTTCTTTGTTCGAATGCAATTCTGAATGTGAAAGAACAGGTATTAGATTCTATAGATCTAAGAGAAGATGATAAAGTTTATTTACCTTCTCTTTTGCTCATATACTTCCAAACAATGAACCAGCATGCCAAAAGTAAAGCAAGCAGCCCACCGACCATTGATGTGATCATTATAATCAATATTCTTCTACTTCTCCAACTTGAATCATCTGTCCCTGTACACCAGCAGATCAAGCTAGCCATTATTTTCCTCAAAATGCAGCAGTAAACAAAATGGAATAACACAAAATCCACTTACCTACTTCTAAAGCAGGCAACCGGACAGATATTTTGCTCTAATTGTTCTGCAACGAACTCTCGGATATCTATCAGTTCTCCGAACCACATTAAACATCCACTTCCGTTGTGATTCGATTTAGAATATGCTGTACACGAGCAATTCTTCAAGCACTCGGCCCTGCAATCCTCAAGGTTCAACCTTTCGTCTAACTTGAAATCCAATAGGTCTGGCAATTTCATATTCTCTATTTGCAGGAATCCCTGTCTCTTCCGGCAGTCTAATGGAGTGCTCCTTACACATCCACCTGTCCAAATGAGTACTCGCCACTCGCGTTCCGATCTTGGAACGAATCCTTCCAAGCATTCACAGATTGGCCTTTGATTAATCTTACAAACTCCATTAGGGCCGCACCGTGCATAATCATCACAAATATCATTCTGCAGTGTAAACATGTTGGTCCATTCACTGGTGTTCTCATACAACACGAAGCGTTCAAGCAAACCGGATTCTCGTGGTAACAGATTTGTCCGTCACTTCATACGTATGGTAAACCTCCTCTGTATTAGCAAAAACAACGTGAACAATAAGAGGGCTTACCTGTACCGGAAAACCACTAAAGCTAATTCCATTCCATGGACCAACTCGAAACCTCTTCTTCATCCCCTTACGAAGAAGAACTGAGGCAAACCATTATGATCAACTCCATATGTAAAATCTCCAGTTGATGGATCATTAACACCCTTGTGTGCCGTCAAATATCGATTTACGCCGGTTTTCAAGTTCCTAGCTTCATCCCTGCCAATTGAGTATCCGATGGAAAATCAAAACTTTCCCACAAGTAGCTTTCTGTATCTTCATCGGTATCCTCATCTTTAACGACAAAATTACCCGAATCCAACAATTGAGCAACCGGATTGTTTGCTGATCTAGATGAATTAGTGGACCAAATCATAGTGTTTTGGCCATCAAAGATTTGAAGATAACCAGTGCTGGAAATATTAAGAAATGCGTGTGAATCTATAACTGGATTTTCTCTATTACCAACCCATACAACAGTATCAGGAAGCCTTTTATACCATATTCCCAAGTAATATTTGTTGGAGTTAACAGGTGAAAAGAAGCCTAGTTCGAATATTTGACCAGGAGAAACTAAGGTGCTGCCATTTCTGAGTGATGAGCTGGAGCTAAGGTATCGGCAGCAGAAGCATAGTATGAGCCTGAAAACAGGCAATACTGAAAGAAGATCAAAGAAAGTGTCTTCATTAAGAAAGGAATGAAATATTAACTGAACATGCATGAAGTTATATTTATCATCAAGTTACCCGCCGGTAACTTGGAAAACAATTAACTTACATTTTCACATGCAAAATCATACTTCTTGTTCGTGGTCAAAGTCAAGAGGATTTGGTAGCTGTCTGGGAACGAAAATACTCATTTTTAAGTTCAGAACCAACACGTGCGCGTTCTTCACTTGGATAAATTAAAAATTCGATGATAGTCAAACCAAGAAATAATAGGTATTACTTAGTGGTCCTATGGTTTGATTGTTTTGAGTGTAAAATAAAAAGTAGTAGTATTATATTGTTTAATTGATAAAATGTTGGTAATTGAACTTTAAAAAGTAAGTATAAAATTAAGCATTACTCACCAACTAGTGGTGTTCAAAAATACCAGACATAGATTAACATTTTTAAGATTGGGCCCAGATCACAAAATTAAATTTTTTCGGGTACCTGATTACTGAGTATCCGAAACCTATTTCCCTACTAGAAACCCATTTCGGCATTTCCCTACTAGAAATCCATTTCCCTCACAAATTACAACCTAAATATGCAGGACTATGGACACCAAAATCTCCTTAAGTTTCATAGTCTAAGCCAGTTTGACAGCAATGAAGCTAATGTCATATGCAATGATAAAAATCGGGCACCAGTTACTCGAATTACGAGTACCTGCAAAATCTGGGTATCTGATTAGCAGTACTCGTAACATTCAGGCCGGGATACGAGTCGATCAATCAAGTACCCGAGGATCCAGGTACCCGAATTTGAACACCCCCTCCAACAACCAATTGGACTAGTGGGATGAGGCACTAGATCACTTAAGCAATGTCAGGGGTTCGAAACCTTGCGATTGCGAATGGAGTAAACTGGGTTTGGAGGGTCGTCCTTGCCTCTACAATACCCGATCCAGATTAGTCGATCAATTGATCGAAATTGGTGGTTATACAAAAAAAATCAAGCGTTACTCTTTCTAATTAAATAATTAATATTGTTTGCACCATTCATCACTCAACTATCTTCTCTATCCTACTTTGGTGATTAAAATTTAAATTTTTTTAATTTAATCACTCAACTCTCAAATTGGATGACATGACTTATTTTATTATTATTTACCTATGACATGACATATTTTATCAATATTTTTTTATCATGTAGGATTAAAATAAAAATAAAATCTTTATACAAATCCTAATCTCCAATCATCAAACTCAAACCTTCATCTTTACAACAATCAATCGCACCCACAAATATTCACACTATAGCAAAACAAGTTTTTAGCGGCGTTTTTAATCCTATAGTAGCATTTATAAGTAGGGGTGCACAAAAAATCCGAATATCCGAATATCCGAAAAAAATATCCGAAACCGGTTTTGGGAAAAACCGGTTTTTTTTTAACCGGATCGGATTTTTTTAAAACCGGTTATTTTAACCGGTTTGGAGAAAAAAACCTAGACCGGTTTTTTTACCGGATAAAAAAACGGTTTGAAAAAACCGGTTAAAAAACCGGTTTTTATCCGAAAAAAAAACCGGTCTGGGTTTAAAAAACTAGCCGTAATATAGCCGTTTGTGACCGTTTTGACGTTTTTTTCTTTAAAAAATTACCATTTTACCACCCTAAACATGTATAAATAGGTTGGGGATGTATTTGGTTGATTACAACTTTCTCAAATCTTATTACACAACACTTAAATCTCTCAAATCTTAGTTTTGTAATTTTTTATTCATCATGAGTAACTGCTGAATCTTCCGTCGGGGGAAACCTTGAAGTCGTGAGAGTGATCGAACACACTCGAACAAAGATATTTGGGATCACTACGATTTATGTGAGATGTCAAATGGCTCGAGGAGGGCGCGTTGTAAACTTTGTCTAAAGTTTCTGCATCGGAAGGAAACACAACGTTGAAGAACCATTGACAAAATCATGCAAGGCACTTCGCTCAAGATCGGATCCTAGTCAATCGAATCTTACACCGCAAGGTGGTGTTTTGTTTACGACAACGAAAAATTACGAGAAGCGTTTACAAAGTTCGTGATTACAAAAGCATTGCCGTTCGACCACTTTGATGATGAAGATTTCACGACAACAATTCAACAACTAATGCAACCACGTTATACTCAAGTAAGTCGTACTACCCTTAGAAGAGATGCTATAAAAATGTGGCGTACGGCGAGGGAAAAAATGATTTTAGGATTCCAAGAACACCGTTATGGTGTGTCGCTTACATGTGACGTTTGGAGTTCCCTCATTATTCGGTGAGCCGCAATCGCGTTTGAATTATTCGGTGAGCCGGTGCTAATTTATTTACACTTTTAAAACGGGTAATTTGTCTTTATAATTAGAAAATAAAGTTTTTTCTATATCTTTTGATAATGCATCGAATAATACAAAACGCGGTTCCAAGATTGAAAATATTACTTTCACCGATTTTAGACGGTGCGTTTTTTCATACCCGTTGCGTTGCACACATAATTAATTTATCCGTGCAAGCCGGTTTGGAGGTTATTGAGCCAATTAGATTAGAATTTAAAACAATGATAAAATCGATTCTTTGTAACAACAACAAAAGACTAAATGATTATAAACGATTTTGTAAGTCTGTAATAAAAAAGTTTTGGGTCCTAATTTGGATTGTCCAACTCGTTGGAACTCAACTTGGATGATGATGCATACTGCCTTAAGGCAAAGGGAAACATTGCAAACATTTCACGATCGGCTTTTCGAGAGGGGTCATGTCCCAAACATTTATCCGGATTCGAGTTGGGAAACTATAGCCAAAATAACCGATTTGCTTGAGGTTTTTAAAAATGCAACAACTTTTTTATCCGGTGTTTATTACCCTACTAGCCCGTTGGTTCTTAATCAAATATTTTTGTGGCTACCCGACTAAATGACTTTGAATTTGAAACCGAAGTTTTTCAAGAAATTGGCTTTGCAATGAAGGAAAAACTTTTAAAATATTTTAAGGAGATTCCCCCCATTTTTACTTGTGCCGCCGCTTTAAACCCAACGTTAAATGTTGGTGGGTTGAAACACTAATTGAACAAATTGCGTTTGCTTTAATCTAACCGATGATGAACCCAACTTTGTCCAAAACCAAATAAATTATTTAACAAATGTTTTCGAGACATGTTTGCAATTTATTTAAATAAATACGGATCAAGTAGTGTAATACACGATCAAATGAGAATGAATGCGGAATCATCTAGTAGACGTCCAAGTAACATAAATTTGAATCTTTTTAACACTCTTGTAAATTCCCAATCCAAACGATCACGTACTACCACCCCAAGTAGCGAGTTGGGAAATTATATGTCATGCGATTTTCTATCAAAAATGACATTTGAAGAGTTTGAAAGTTTGGATATTTTGGCTTGGTGGAAAGAAAAGGAAGCACAATTTCCGATTCTAGCCGCCATGGCCCGTGATTTACTAACCGTCCAAGCTTCTACGGTAGCTTCGGAATCCGCTTTTTCTGTTAGTGGCAGGGTTTATATCGCAACGGAGATCAAGACTAAGTCCCGAGTCGGTGGAAGTATGCATTTGTTTAAAGGATTATTTGGATGGAGCGGCTCGTAAGCAACATATCACCACCCTAGAAGATGCAATGATGCCGATTTGGAAGCAAACTTACATTGAAGAAGTCGAACTTGGAATATCCCCTCCAAACGAAGAAGGCGAAGATGATGAAGAAGAGATGGCAATGTAGTTTATTTTATAACTTTATTTCAATTATCGTAACTTTGTTTCAATTATCGAACTTGAAGTTTTTAAGTATTTGAATTTATCGAACTTGGAAGTTTTTAAGTATTTGAATTTATCAAACTGGAAGTATTTAAGTATTTCAATTATGTTGAGTTAATTAAGTATTTCAATTAAGTATTTGAATTTATCGAACTTGAGGTTTGATGCTTTCTCTTTGATTCTCTCTTGATTCTAGTTGCTTGATGTTTCTTGTCTTTGATCAATGACTTCTAAGCTTGCTTAAATACACCTTGAATCACTTCTGAACGTTAGTGATAATTAATGAAGATAATATAGCCGTTTAAGTGTGAAAACATTTAATAAAAATGCTTAGAGCGTGGGGGAATCGGTACCCTCTCATAGGGAATCGGTTCCCTAAGTGTAAAATTCAAATATTTCGACCGTTGAATAGGGGGGAATCGGTACCCCTATGGGGGAATCGGTTCCCTCCGAGCATTCTGGAAATCTCGGAGCCAAACCATTCAATGAGGAATCGGTACCCCATTGGGGGGGAATCGGTTCCCTATGAGCAATCTGGAATATTAAAATCGGTTTTTTATAACCGGTTTTTTAAAAAAACCGGTTTTTTTAAAACCGAAACCGGTTACACCGGTTAGGATATCCGGCCCTCCAAACCGGTTAGAAACCGAACCGGTTATTTTATAAACCGGTTTTGTTTCTATGGGAAAAAACCGGATCGGATAAAAACCGATCCGGATCGGATTGAAATCCGAATTATGTGCAACCCTATTTATAAGTAACGCTAAAAACTTTCCCAACGCTTGCAAAAACGCCACAAGAAGTGTTACAAGAACGAACCCTGCAATTGTTAGCGGCGTTTGTGTAAAGACAAATGCCGCTATTGACTGTGTATTTAGCGGCATTGTATTTAAAAAACGATGCCAAATAAACCAATTATTAGGGGCATTTTCATCCAAAAATGTCGCAAATGGTACTATTAGGAGTAGTTGCATGAGTTGCATAAAACACCATTAAAGACATTTTTTACACCCACAGTAATAATCAATTCTAAAAATCAAAGCATATATTCCATATGTTAAATAAAAACAAGTCACTTGAAACTAAAAGAGTGGAAAACATTAATATCACAAAAATACATACAAATGTATACATATGTGTTACATATACTAGAAATAAAAAAGCAAACTAGTTGCATGTGTATTTTCACGTTTCCCACTTATAACTCTAATATCCAATGACAATTTTTCCCAACTTCTCGCTACGTACACCCAAGAATCAAATTGCACTTTGCAGGCACATCAGGAACTTCTTTACCATCCCAAGAATCAATTTTGTAAGATCCATTTTCCAAGTGCAGAATCCCACTAGCCAATACAGTAGGAATGTGGTTTTTCAAACGGGAATTAACTTCACAAAGAGTGTTGTAGAATTCAAGCTGCATGGAAGGAAACAAAAAACTTAACAGTATGTAAAAGATCCATGGACACTAATAGTATAAATTTGCACATACACCTACCTCAGTGTCTAAACCGTGTAATGAAGATTCCAGCCCTTCTTCAACGAAGATTTTAACCACGTATTCATCCATGACATAGAGCTGTTGCAGAAGAACTAGAACAATCAATCAAAACTACATAAACAAATCTATGTTGATTAAATGACCGCTTATAAAAATGTTAGTCAAAAACAGTTTACATAAAGATCAGATACATCAAAATTCCCCCAACTTCCAATATGTAAAAGAAAACAGAATTTAAGAGATGAATGGAAATGACAAAAGAACTCATAGGATTGCTGCCTGTTCCAACGGAAGCTTCTTATCATCGTTGGGAAAAGGCAAACTAAAATATTATCCCCTACAACTAAATATTTTTGTTTTGATGCAGCCAAATAGCAGAGGCAAATGAAATCTAATATACCCAGCAAGCAAAGGATTAAACACCAATCTAACAGATTTTTACTCCACTAATTCAATCAATAAATCTAAAGAATCCAATAGCAAGCAAATGATTAAACACCAATTTGACAGTCTTTTAAACTTCACCCTACATAACAGATACTGTAAATTTTTCAACATATCATCGAAGGATTAAAATGTAAAAATTACGAGGTGAAAAATGCTCCCATAAGAAAGAGGAAATTGCACCTATAAATAAATTTCTTGATAGAATCAGTTAGCCAACAATCAACTAAAATGATCCACTATTTTCTAGAGTGCCCAATTAGCTTGGAACTCCAAATGAATTGGATAAAACAAGGGGAGAGAATACCCCCAATAATAACCCCTTTCAAGATAGGTGCTGCCTAAATTCCATTTCATGCCGCACAAACCCAATCTATCTAGATTGCCAGTAACTTAGTTTCATGTTAGTGCTACAGGCGAGATTCAATCTACATAAAAAAAAAAAAAAGCCCAACAAAGATACAAGCATATGTAAAGCAATTCAAAGCATTGCCTTCCAAACTTAGCAAGCTGATATATCAATTCTTTGTCACTGAGGGAACATGCACTTTGGATCCAACCATGCATTTCCCACCAGTCAGGAACATATAACAGAAGAAACAGCCTGCAGAACTTACATGACTGTAGAAATAAATCGTGAACTAAATTATAAATAGTGACACAGAAGCTACTACTATTAAGTTATTTTGTTATTCAGTCGTATTTCTTAATTTTTATATTTATAGAAATATGGCTAGGATTATAAATTATCCTTAGGGTTAAATCTAGGACTTGGATTAAAACTTTATTTGTAACCCTAATATAATAAGCTGTAAAATAAATTTAACGCCAAATTCATTGTTTTCTTTTAGTTAATAGAATTTAAAAACTAGAGAGTTTATAATCCTATGTTTTCTAGAGTTTCAACTTTATTCATACCTATTTCAGCCATAGTTCCCCTGATTTCTGCTGTTTTTCTCCTAAACCACACCCAAGTAGACCAAATTCTATGTATTAAAGTAGAAGTTTTCAAGCCTTCACTCAGATAAATGAATAATAGTTCTTCTCAACCTTTTTACACGTTCAGAATACAATTTAATTCATTTAGCTCACACTCTTTACATAAGAAATCAGTTTGCAGTCCTAGTCAGAACTCTAATAACTTTAATTTTAATTGGGCAAGATAGAAGATTACAGATTTCTGTCTTAACCTATGATGAGTACAAATCAAATATATCATGCAGAAAAACATAATGAAGTATCTAAAGCTACTGCTGTGGTCCCAGAACTCTCATAGAGTTAGATATGCAAATAGCCAAATTAGAGGTCTAAGGAGAAAGTCACGACTACTATCGGTAAGATTGATGTCTTCTATTACACCCTTAAATCAAACAGGCAAAGAAAAGAGAAAACAGAAAATTTTACATCTTCAACTGCTCAATGAAGATAAAGAACAGAAAATCAGAACAGAGACAAAACTACCGCTCAAAACAAGGGCACAACCAAATTTGATCGGTAATGGACAAATGGCAAAGCATATAACAATGTATTAATATCATATGGTCATTTGTTGAAAACTTGAAACACAATTATAGGGCAATACAAAATTTCATTTCATTCTTAGAATACTATTTTGGCAATGTTTATTCTCACAAGTGCATGTAATACCACCGGGAAAAAATATCATTCCTGTTTTAACAACATATACGAAAAGAGGAAAAGTTCCTCAATCAAGTTAAATAAAATATTTAACATACCTTAACATACAGCAGGAATGGCAATGTCTTCCGCAACAGCAAACATATGACAACCTAGCAAGAAAACTGAATATGAAACATACTAATATAGATAACAAGATATCCAGAGTCCCTTGTATATTTGAATACAATAGATGAAAGGAAACACAAAAGAGCTACAAAGTTAGTGTTAAACATGTGAATTCTTGAAGGTTAAAAACACGATACCTTGCTGAAGTACCCAGTCAGTGGTGTACTCTGAGAGTGATTCGAATCCAAAAAGGAAAATAATAAATTCATTAACTGCAAACAAACAAGCACCGGTAGAAGCCTACATTAATAAAGACAATGTACAATTTCAAATACAGGGGAATAAAGGGGTTAACTTCTTCCTCATCTGACCCTTTGTGCTCGAGTCCTTAAGGTAGTGGACGATTTGGGGGTGTACCGGGAGGCAAGATTTTAAGCTTAGGGTCGGTGGGATTTGAATTAAAGGTTAATGTTTATGGGTTGAGTTTAAAAAAATTAATTATTTTCTGTTTTTTTATTTTAATCCTGCATGTAGTTAAAATGGATGCTATTCTAGGAAATAAAGATAAATGTGTTCTATTTGATACAAAAGAAAAAATAGTATTATTTTAATAATTTAGCTTTAAAATATACATCTAAAAGACTTGTTATGTATTGATTTAATACATATATGTATTAAATACATGAATTATTTTTTGGTCAAATTAAGCCTTTAAATTTTTATATTTAATCATTTGAAGTCATATAATTTCTCAGTTAAAAATACTATTCGACCAATAAGATATTGACATATCATTTAAAGTAAACAAAGTCATAGTTTAGGAATTTGTTTTGACCAAAAATTAGTATAGGTACTTAAAGTGGTCACATATAACATATAATGACTTAATTTGATCAAAAAATAATTGAAGTACTTAAAGCAAAAAATGGCATAGATTGAGTACCCTTTTTGTAATTTAAGCCTTTATATTTCGTTAAATTTGTTATTTATTGGTTTAATTTCAGTGTCTATTTTTGGATAAAATACAGAAATGATCCCTCAATTATAAGATACTATTTTGGAACATAATGAATAATCGTGTAATTACCTAGAACTTAATTCGAGTTGAAAAAAAAATAATTGGGTGAACAAATTAAAACAAAATTGATAATTGAAAGTATTAAACATATTGTTTACCTCATAAGTATAGTCCCAAAAGTTTCGATTTCTTAATATGTTAATAATATCTTTTTAAAACTTAATTTTAAAATCCTGAGCAGCGACAAAACTAGAATGCCCCGATAAGAACAAATTTGTCCTACAATCTTTATAAAAAAATCAAATTAAAAAAATATAGTACACTGATAACCCCTAAAAACCTAAACAAAAAGAATTTTATCAACCATTCTATTACATAACTAACATGCACACGAATTTTATAAAAAACAAAAAACAAAAAGGATATATGAGGCTCTTCACTTTTTGAAAAAAAAATCAATGTGGCCCTCCACTTTTTTTTCACTCAATGTGGCCCTCTAAAAACAATTCAATGTGGTCCTTTAACCAACGTTTTCACTCGTTGATCGAAAAGATTGTTACTTTGTGCTGACGTGCCACGTTAAGCAGGTTAAATCTTTTTTTCCTCTCAATCTGGCCCTCCAGCTAAAAAAACACTTAATATGGCCTCTTATTTTTCTCTTCTATTTTAGTCACTAAACTTTAAAAGTTTTCAATTTAATCACTCAACTTTTGAATTGCTCCTATTTTAATCATCATGATTTATTTTATTAATATTTATGTATGATGTGGCATTATGTATGATGTGGTATTTTTTTCTTTTCAACCAAAGATTTTTTCTTTCTTTCTTTCATTACCAGATTCGGTGAACCTAGATTGAACTTGTAAAAAAATTGAAAAAATGGGATGAGCTATTTGATCAGGTAATGAAAGAAAAAGAAGAAATCTTTGATTGAAAAGGAGGAAAAATGAAATGAGAGAATAAAGGAGGAGAATGAAGATTTGGAAATATATAAAGCATATAGAATATTTTTAATTTAATTATAATTTTGAGAATATTTTTTGTTTCAATATATTTTTAAAATTTTAATTTAATTAATAATATTTTAATCATATATTAATAAAATAATAAGAATAAATGTCACATCATACATAAATATTAATAAATAAACATGATGATCAAAACATGAGTAATTCAAAAGTTAAGTGATTAAATTAAAAACTTTTAAGTTTAGTGACTAAAATAGAAGAGGAAAGATAATTGAGTGACGAATGATATAATTTTATCATTTATAATAGCATCAAACAGAAATATGAGGGTCATATTGAGTTATTTTCTTGAGTTGAAGAGTCAAATTGAGAGGAAAAAGGGTCACGTCAGCACAAAATAACGACTCCATCGATCAATGACAAAAAACGTTGGTCAAATGACACATTGAATCTTTTTTTTAAATTAGAGGGCCACATTGAGTGAAAAAATGGAAGACCTTAGATATCATTTTTCCTAAAAAAAAAGCACAAGAAGGAAAATATTTTTATATTTTATTAATAATAGGTGTTACAAAATTGAAAATTCAACAAAAGTCAGTCTCATCACCGAAAGTCGGCAATTTAAATTGAGAATAAAGAAATTGATCAATCGAAATTAATCGTAATTTATTAATGAACTTGAATTTTAAAATATAACAATCGACTATCATATTAAGATGTTTGAATGAATTTATTTATTTCTGACATAAATAAAATAAGATTTGAGGTAAGTCATATTCAAAGCTATACTAATATTATAAATCATACAAAGGAAAGGCCTCAGTGTGTGTAACAATCACATCATTGACAGCACAATCTCACTGAAATCCGCTAAGATAATTTAAAACAAGCCTCAATAATTTGAAAACAAATTGACTGCCAGGGGTTAGTCTGAGAAGAAGGATCTCCAAAGAATTCACAGAGAACAAGCAGCAAGAGCGGGGAGTCGAATCACGAGTATAGTGGTAACGAGCTTAGCTCGCATGACGTCATGGAGCTGAAGAGACGATTCAAAGAGGATGACAACGACAATAAAGATGACAGCGATGGAGATGACGACGGTGATGATGACTATTCAGAGGAAGAGAGTAAAGAGAAGGGAAGGGTGGTGGAGAGGGTTACGAGCATGGTTTATAAAATCGGATCGGTTAACGAATTAGTTAAATTATTAATTTATTGGTTCAATCGATTGAATTGATTTGATCGGTCGAAATAACCGGACGACGTTATAATTATTTAAAAAATTAAATAAAAATACCAAAAATATTTAATAAAAAATAATTTTTTATATTACAAGTCATATTCAAAGCAAGTCATAACATATATATAAGTTAAAAACCATAAAATCAAGTGAAACAAAATGATTCAAATTAACTACAACATAATAATTAAGGTAAAACATATTAAATAATAAATATAATTATATAACTATAATTAAAAAATAAATTTGGGACTAAAAAAATTATAACAAATTAATATTGTTTAGTTTAATTTAAAAAAAAACAATCTCACATGGCTAAGAAACATAGAAGAACATCCCAAAAGTTTAAAGAGTAAAAATATGATAACAAAACAATTTCACATGGCTAAGAAACATAGAAGAGTATCCAAACTAACTTCTATAAATAATAGAGGTAATTTGACATTCAAAATCATAGAGCCTTTTGGTGAGCATCGAGTGAACTATTCTTTCACTTCAATCAAGCTCGAATTTTAGGCTTCAATCGAGCTTCTAAATTTTTTTTGAGTTCAAGCATTTTCGAGTTCAAATTTCAATATTATATTTTGAGTTCGAGTTGAACTTGATAATTTTTAGCTCGTGAGTTTGAGTCGAGTTGAGCTTACTTTTAAAGTTTTCAAGTTCGAGTCGAGCTCATCAATACTCGAGTTCGACTTGGCTCGTTTTCAATCGGCCCGGTTTGAATGGTTCAGCGGTTCCGGCCGATTCACTAATAGCGGTTCAACTGGTGTAGATTGAACCGAATTAGACAACGATTTCCGGTTGAATTAAACCGACCAGTCCGGTCCGATTTTCAAAATAATGGTTACGAGGAGCTCCGGAGTAAGAGGGGGAGGGCGAAGAGAGGGGTGAGGAGGCCGCTGAAGAGAGCGGTGGCGGAGTCGAGGGGTAAGAGAGGGACAGAAAACGTGTATAATGAGGTGGTGATATTGGGAGGTAGGGGAAGAGCTAGGACTCCATTATTTTGATGAAGAAGAAGATGAAGACATCCGCATGCCAACTCACCTACGTGGTTTTCATTTTTTATTTTTTAATTATTAACTTAAACTTTTATTAATTATCAACTTAAACTTTTATTAATGGGTTAATAAAAGTTAACGGCGAGATATCCGAACCAGATCGATAACGTAAAGGACCAAACATACTTGATTAGAGTAGATTAGACCTAAAACAAAAGGAACCACTAGCATAGTTTACCCTTAATTATTTCATTGATGGGCAAAATTTAATAAAGAAGTATTGATAAATTTTGTAAAATATAAAAATTAGGTTATACATGGAATTCCAAGGAATTGCTAACCCTAAAGCATAAACAATTTCAAATTATTGGCTTCGAAGCAGTAGGCTTTACGTTCGATAATTTGCAAGCTTAAACAATCTCAAATCATTTGACTTCGAAGCAGTAGGCTTCTCATTCAATAATTTGATTTCAATCTTTTTTATCTACCTTCTTCCTCAGTCAAGGTGAGTGCATATTCAGTTGAAGGTTGTGTGTGCAAACCTACAGCATTTGTATCACCGGAACTTCTTTCTACATAGAAGCCAGGCTCCTTCGGTCGAGGCAGTGACGTCACGATTTCTTCGTTATCCAACATCCGAACCACGCACGGCATCGTTGGTCTGTCCTCTACGTGTTTCTGAACACATAACAGGCCTACCTGAATGCACCTAACCACTTGTTCTTCAACACATGAATCTTCTGAACAACGATCCATTAGTTCCATGGTCTTCTTATCGTTCCACAGCAGCCATGCCTGCAATGAATCGAGTTCTTAATCCGATATCGTAAGGCTAATGACATGACGAAATCATATGACAATGCAAGAAAGACGACCTACATGTCCCAAGAGATTGTGGTAATGATCCGGATGGTTAAAGCCCCTGTTCCTTTTCCCACTCACAATCTCTAGCAGAAGCACCCCCAAGCTAAACACATCTGATTTAACCGAAAATTTCCCATCGATTGTGTACTCCGGCGACATATAACCACTGAAACAAATGATCAAGCAAAGTGTAAGCTTTTGAACAAAGTGATGAAAACGAGCAATCTATTAATTTCATGCAACAACATTAGACTTACTATGTCCCAACTACTCTCTTAGTTTTGGCTTCAACTTGATCACCTTCAAACATTTTGGCTATCCCAAAGTCTGAAATTTTGGGGTTCAACTCATTGTCCAGCAACACATTACTGGCTTTCAAATCCCTGTGAATGATTCTCAATCTCGAATCTTGGTGGAGGTAAAGAAGCCCTCTTGAAATTCCCATTATGATTTCGAAACGTTTCGGCCATGTCAACACATTTCTTCTGGTTTCATCTGCAGAAGTTTTATTTTTCTTTACCATGTACTGACATATCAATTGAGTAAAAATTAAATGAAAACGAACCGAAAATGAAGTAATTCAAGCTTCTGTTAGGCATAAACTCGTAGATAAGCACCCTTTCATCTCTCTTAATGCAACATCCCAAAAGCCTAACAAGATTTCTGTGTTGAAGCTTAGATATCATTGCAACTTCGTTCTTGAACTGTTCAACACCTTGCCGGGAATTGCTAGAGAGCCTCTTTACTGCTATTTCTTGTCCCTCAAATAGTTCACCCTGCATGTTATTTTGCATAGGAATTATGATACAAGTCCCCTTTCAATGAATCATATATATAATCATTGAAGCAGATATTAGCTCAGCCAATTACCTTGTAAACAAGTCCGAAACCGCCTGTTCCTATTTTATTCGAGTCGGAAAAGTTATTGGTTGCGGATGCAATCGTAACAAAATCGAATAACGGCAAATCCAGATCTTCTTCGTTCGAATGTAGTTCTGAATGTGAAAGAACAGGTATTAGATTCTATAGATCTAAGAGAAATGATAAAGTTTAATTACCTTTTTTTTTGCTCCTATACTTCCAAACAATGAACCAGCATGCCAAAAGTAAAGTAAGCAGCCCACCGACCATTGATGTGATCATTATAATCACTATTCTTTTACTTCTCCAACTTGAATCATCTGTCCCTTTACAACAGAAGATCAAGTCAGCCATTATTTTCCTCAAAATGCAGCAGTTAACAAAATGGAATAACACAAAATCCACTTACCTACTTCTGAAGCAGGCAACCTGACATAGATATTTTGCTCGAATTGTTCTGCAACGAACTCTCGGATATCTGTCAGTTCTCCGAACCACATTAAACATCCACTTCCGTTGTAATTCGATCTAGCATATGCTGTACACGAACAATTCTTCAAGCACTCTGCCCGGCAATCCTCGAGGTTCAACCTTTCGTCTAACTTGAAGTCCAACAGGTCTGGCAATTTCACATTCTCAACTTGCAGGAATCCCTCTCTCTTCCGGCAGTCTAATGGGGTGCTCCTCACACATCCACCAGTCCAATTGAGTACTCGCCACTCGCGTTCCGATCTCGGAACGAACCCTTCAAAGCATTCACAGATTGGCCTCTGATTAATCTTACAAACTCCATTAGGGCCGCACCGTGCATAATCATCACACATATCATTCTGCACTGTAAACATGGTGGTCCATTCACTGGAGTTCTCATACAACACGAGGCGTTCAAGCAAACCCAATTCATTCACCGTAAATCTCGTGATAATAGATTTGTCCACCACTTCATACGAACGGTAAACTTCCTCTGTATTAACAACATAAACATATACAATAAGAGGGCTTACCTGTGCTGGAAGACCACTAAAGCTAATTCCATTCCATGGACCACCTCGAAACCTCTTCTTCATCCCCTCACGAAGAAGAAACTGAGGCAAGCCATTATGCTCAATTCCATAAGTAAAATCTCCAGGTGATGGATCATTAACACCCTTCCGTGCCCTCAAATATCGATTTACGCCGGTTTTCAAGTTCCTTCCTATCCTCATCCCTGCCAATTGAGTATCCGTTGGAAAATCAAAACTTTCCCACAAGTAACTTTCTGTCCCTTCATCGGTATCCTCATCTTTAACAACCAAATTACCCGAATCCAACAATTGAGCAACCGGATTGTTTGCTGATCTAGACGAATTAGCGGACCAGATCATAGTGTTTTGTCCATCAAAGATGAAAAGATAACCAGTGCTGGAAATATTAAGAAACGCGTGTGAATCTATAACTGGATTTTCTCTATTACCAACCCATACAACAGTATCAGGAAGCCTTTTATACCATATTCCCAAGTAATATTTGTTGGAGTTAACAGGTGAAAAGAAGCCTAGCTCGAATATTTGACCAGGAGAAACTAAGGTGCTGCCATTTCTGAGTGATTGAGATGGAGCTAAGGTATTAACAGCAGAAGCATAGTATGAGCCTGAAAACAGGCAATACTGAAAGAAGATCAAAGCAAGTGTCTTCATTACGAAAGGAATGAAATATAGGAAAATATTAACTGAACATGCATGGAATTATATTTATCATCAATTTACCCGCCGGAAACTTGGAAAACAATTTACATTTTCACATGCAAAATCATAACTTACGCTTGCTGTACGAGGTCAAAGTCAAGAGAATTTGGTAGTAAGACTGACCTGGAAAGAAAAATACTCATTTTAACTTCCGAACCAACTCGTGAGCGTGCTTCATTGGGATAAATTAAAAATTCGATTATAGTCAAAACAAGAAATAACAGGTATTAGTGTCATATAGTTTGATTGTTTGAGTTTAAAATAAAAAGTAACCATATTATACGTAACACGTTCAAGTATTTTCAGTCAAACACATCAAATAATTAAAAACAAAGGATTATTGTAGAGAATGTATCGACAAATGGTATAAGTAACCAATCAAATTACGTAATAGAGGAATTGTGTTCTACGGGAACGTTAATGAATCAAGGACATACAAATCGTCCTTCCAATTTAAGGGTGAATTGAGAGAGAGCGTAGTGGGAGCGACTAAAGTATCGCTAAAAAAATGAACTCGAGTCAGGCATCGGACTAGCAAATAATATAGCAAATAATATAGCAAGTGCTCAGCATAAATAATAATTGTCGTAATTCATGAAACATATAGACACCTCTTTAGAGGCAGAAATGTCTAAAACACCCTTTAATATTGTCGACACACATTTTCGCCCCTATATTTTAAATGTATCATGTGATACTATAATTATATAATGTATATTTTATGCCGTTACGTAGCATACATATATATATTATATTATTATATATATGCGTTACATATCATTTTACATTAACTTGTTTTATTATATATACAAGTTACATATTAGTACATATTAGCTTGTTTTATTTGGATACATTCAGGTCCAATAATAATCAACAGTGGCCCAGCAGAACACTTCAAGCCCAACACGTGAACCCACCACGTTTACCCAATGGCCCGACCCGCTCGATGATCCACTGGAGCGATCCAAGTACTCAACCCGCATCAACCAGCTAGGGTTCTCGAGCCCTAGCCAAGTCCCTCCTCAGCGCCACATGCCCCTCGGTCAAAGCCACACAATCAACCGCATTTCACGGCAATGTCACCCCCAACGACCGAGTTCCACAGCAAGTACAAAACCAACCCTCAACAAACATCAACAAACCGAGTTTTACTCAGAATCAAACACTAAAATAGGGATTTTTTTGTTCTACAAATAAATGTAAACTAGGACGATTAGGGGGTAATTACACAAAAACACACAATATCACAGAAATTACACACGAAATTACTTAGCAAATACGCAAGGAATTCGAGAGGAAAATCAAAACCCGAGCCTTGTAAACGTTTCAAGAAGCAATAAAAAGGTGGAAGTTTATACCTTTCTTATTTCTTTTCCCTTGCATGTGTGGTTTTCTTGTCGTTTTACTCGGAAAAAAACCCAAAGATTTGGACCGATGAACACAAGGGAACCGAGATCTTTTCTCTTAGATCTACGGTTCCCCGAGGCTCGATTGTGAAAAATACTTTGATTTTTGGAACGAGGACATCAAAGGCTAAAAGAAAAATGGATTTTTTTTGGGTTCGCCACCGATGACCGACGGTCGGCGCTGATCAACAGCAGCCGACGAGGCGGCGCAACGCCGGATTTTGGGAAGCATGACCCATGTTCTTCATTTGTGAAGAACGGGCGAGAGGATATCAACAAAAAGGGGGCTTTTGTTTTGAAATGGTGAAAATGAGAGGCTTCAGAAAAATTTTAATTTTTATATGACCCATTGGGTCAACCCGTTAACCCGTGCGGATCCCCTAGGGGATCCGCGTGTTTCTGGAAAAATGGGGGAAACCCTTCTTCAGGTCCCTAGTTGTTTGAAGACTCTCATTTTATCCCCATATCAATTTTAATTCCCCCATTTGCTTCGAGATTTGGCCCCCTGATTTGTTTTTCTTGCAGATCGATCCCTTCACATTTTAACTTTATTTTTTATTTCTTATCTTTATTTATTTAAATATTATATTTAATTACAAATATATATTTTATTATTATTTTATTTTATTCGCATTAATGGACCGAAATGGACCGAGTTACAATACAAAGAGATGAAAAGCTCAGAAGTCCAACTATGGTCAGAAAAGACTCGGAATGGACCGGGTTACACCGTGCTTGTCAAAAGTAAACTTTTTGGCAAAAGTTGTAAAGGTATGACAAGAAAAAGGTTACTGACCCCAAGAGTCCTTTCGAAGACTACGAGAACAAGATAGCGAAACCCTAGCTGAGTTGGATGCCATTGCTGACAAATTCAAGAAACAAGCAAATGAACTTCAGATAGCTCTTAACGATTGAGGGCTTCAATGGCGTTTCTGTTAGGGAACAGACTCAACAGAGAGTGAAAACCGGAGATGCAACCATTCGAGACTTCTTGGGACAAGTACGAAAAGTAGCTCATAGAGGCCAGAACTGTTCGATAGGGTATTCAACCGGTGACAAGTGAAGACAGAAGACGAATCAACTTGTCAGAGGCTGTTCGGGATATACCATCAAAATGTTTTTTTGTCTCTTAAAGATGTAACACTTTTGTCCCCAATAAGGATTATTTATAATAGCAGGCACATTTTTTTGGATCAATGCCTCGAACATTTCATGTATCATACATTATTGCATATTCCGCATTTTTTTTCTTTTTTCTTTTCCCTTTTTTTTCATTACATCCACATTAACTAACAAGATACGTCTTATAAAAATGGAACAAACATGATTTGAAAGCAAATTGAAGATTACCTGAAGTGTGTCTGAAGATCCACAATGATGAATGAGTTACTAGCGCGTGTTAGTAAGATCGAGAAAATTCAAGAGTAACTCATAAAAACCCAACGAGAGATGATTGATCAAAAAAGAAGATTTCAGGATGAGTCCAGAGAACAGATGACCAAGTTAATGGATATGATAAATGTTGTGATCCATGGAGAGAAGCCACTAGTGGATCCCATTTTGGATGGGACTATGAATGCTGGTGCTGAAACTGAAACGATAATGACCAAAGGACCTGTTAAGGAGCCAGATATTTCAGGTCCGCCCCAAAAACCAAATGTGGTTATAGAAGGTTCCACTGGGCCAACCATGGAGGATGAGCTTTCCCTTGTGAGAGATAAGCTTCACTCAAAGAAGAGGGTCATAGAATATGACTGAATATTGACCAATAAAGCCAAGATAGATCAATCTCTCATGATTAGAGGTTCTACCCCTTTTTAATCATCAAGTCAGGACACTCAAGTTCTATCTATGAAGTCATTGCCAAGTAGTCTCTCGTCATGGGGGCTAAATGATAAGAAAAACAAAGTGCAGGGTTTTCAGTTCCCTCCCTTCCACTTTTCGCTTGAAAAATTACGTTCACAAATGCTCACAACCGGATTGATTACACCGGGATATATCCAGCCATAGTGGCCCCTGAATGAGAAATGAACCTACACAGAGATTCCTTGGGTAAATAGGATGGAACCTCAGTTTGTCCAACTAAGGTTCATGGAAACCATGAGGATCTTTTATAACAAGCAATCCAAGAGTGCAAGGTAGAAGAGAAAGGGATGAAAGTCCAAAAATTAAAAGTCGTCAATTCAATGGAGAATACCTGCGAAGAACATAATAGACAAAAGAATGAAAAAGTAAATTTAAGCATAAGGGCCTCCGTGAATGTAATCCGAGACTGGCCCGTGGGTTTGAGAATGGATGGGGCAGATGTAGCCAAGAAGACACCTCAAACTGCTTCAACAGATGATTCCTGTGAAAAACCTAAGGCGCAAGAGGATCGGAAAGGAAATCCAAGTAAAAGAGCTTCCGTGAATGTAGTCTGAGACTGACTCATGGGTTTAAGAATCAGTGAGACAGACGCAGCTTCGAAGACACCTCAAACACATATATCAAATTTCGTAAAGGCAAGAAGGATTTTAGGTAGCTCAGGAGGCTTGACGAATATTATGCCAATCACAACGACCATATCGTTTGGGATCCGACCAAAACTATCACCACCGAGGAAAATTGTTTTGGATCTAAATTTGGGCCTAATTTTCAGTACCCAAGAAAGGAGAAAATGATAAATCTCAAGGAAGTGAGATCTTCCCAAGAAGCTGCTCGAGAGGAAGCATAAGTTTGTTCGTCTGAGGGTATATCAAAAGGAGCCCCAGCAAGTGAAACGATTGAGAAATAGGGAGCAAGTGCAGAAGAAGACCCAAATCCAACTAGTGGGGTATCCTGATGAGGCCTTATTGCATTTTGCAGCATCCTGATTGAATTTGTTTTTGAACTTTCTTATATTTGAAACTTATTTCTGAACTTTCTTTTTATGGATATTTAAATGAATTTATGTTGAATGATTTACCAAATTTACTACTTTAAATTCTTTGAATATCAACCGAATTAAACACTCTATAAATGATTGGAGTTACAAATCTTTGACAAAATAAAAAAACAAGGACTTTACCCCGAAAATCCCAAACACCATACCTTTCCTTTACAAGAACCGATATAGCCTTCTCCTCTCATAAAAGAATGAAAAGCGGCTTGGTATTTAGGTGTGCATAGGAGTGGACAACATGGGACATCTTTTGCATATGAAATTTCTATAATTTTTGTTTAAGACGTTCAGTGATGATAATGATCTTCACAAGATGGAACAATCGAGTAGGTGAATCTAGTTTAAGTCAGTTGCTTGGAAATTGAACTCCAAAGATGAGATTCATTGACTTTCAAAAACACCTAGATTATAACAGGTTCTTCTTGACAAACTTAAGGAATTGGACTCGTATACCCAGATTATAATATTATATCTATACAACAAAGCTTGAGTTGTCCCTCTAGAGCAATTTGTTAAACGCCTCGGCTTTATGGATAATATTCAGCTAGCCTGATAAAGGTGATTATACTATACAATAAAGCTTGAGCTGT